CGGGGGGCCCCCCCGGGGGGCCCCCCCGGGGGCGGGGGCCCCGCGGGCGCGGCCCGCCGCCCGCGCGGGGGCCCCCAGCGACGCCCCGCAGGCTCTGCTGCTGCTGCTGCTGCTGCGGCAGCAGCAGCCCGCCGCGCCGCGGCAGCTGCTGCCTGCTGCCGGCTTCAAGGGGAAGCGGCGGCGGCTGCTGCTGCGGCTGCGGCGGCTGCTGCAGCAGCTGCAGCAGCAGCTCCGCGCGCTGCCGTCCGCAGGCGCAGCAGCAGCAGCAGCAGCAGCAGCGGGGTGCTGTCTGCTGCAGCGGGAAAGGGAGGCGCTGCAGGCGCCGAGAGCAGCAGGAAGCGCAGCAAGGCGTTTGAGCTGCTGCGCTGCAGCACGAGCAGCAGCAGCAGCAAGGAGGGCGGTGCTGCGTGCGCGGCGGCGGAGGCGCAGCAGCGCAGCAGCGCAGCGCGCAGCGCGGGGCTGCTGCTGCTGCTGCTGCTGCAGCAGCGGGAGGCGGTAGCTGCGGTTGAGCTGCTTGATGAGCAGCACGCGGGGCAGGCGCGCTGCTGCTGCTGCTGCTGCTGCAGCAACTGCCACAAATGCTGCCAGCGGAGAAGGCCGCTGCGGCACTGCAACGGGAACTGCTTCGCAAGACCAGCTGCTGTCCCAAAAAGGCAGCACTTCATCTCTCCAAAGGTCCAGCATTTTTGCTGCTGCTGCTTCTCTGCGAGCGCGGCCTTCGCTGAGCAGCAGCAGCCGCTTCTGCAGGCTCATCTGCTGCTGCTGCTGCAGCAGCCGCTGCTGCTGCTGCTGCTGCTGCTGCGCCACCTTCTGGTGGAAAAAGGCTATCCAGCGGGAAAATGTTGAACTCGATAAGTCAGCAGCAAATAAATCCAATCTCCGAGAAATAAACTGAAGACTGACACAGCGGGCTTCCATCTCATCATCGAGATCAAACTTGCGAGCTGTGGTGTACAGACACCCCACGGTGATGTCCACCAGCTGCTCCAGCGGCAGGCAGTTCGCCGCGCCGCGCGCCTCCTCGCTGCTGCTGCTGCTGCTGCTGCTGCTGCTGCTGCTGCTGGGGGCGCCCCACAGCAGCAAAGAGTGCTCTGCATTCACCCGAATCAGCCGCCGCTTCATTCGGCCGTTGCGGCAGAGTTTGACGAAGACAGAGCCTTCCACGAACAGCGAGGTGTCTAGACACTCCGCCGCCTCCTGCTGCAGCAGCCCCCCCGCTGCTGCTGCTGCTGCTGCTGCTGCTGC